GCACAAGCAAAAAGAGCCTTCTTCAAATACAGAAGTCTACTAATGTCAAATATTGACCTGGGATTAGGAAAGATTTTTCTGAAGTTATATGTTTGGAGCACAGCCCTATACAGATGCGAAACATGGTCGATGGGAAAGCCAGAAAGAAGAAGGATAGAAGCATTTGAAATGTGGTGCTACAGAAGGATGTTGAAAATTAAGTGGACTGATAAAGTTCGAAATGAGCTGGACTTTGACAGGATAGGTGAAGGAAGTAGTATATGGAAAAATCTAACGAGAAGAAGAGATAGGATTGTGGGACACATTCCGAGGCACCCAGGATCGGTTAATTTGGTAATGGAAGGAAAGATTGTAGGGGGAGACAAAGATTGGAATATGTGACGCAGTTTTTGAGGATGTAAAAAAATGTGAAAATGAAGAGATTTGCGCAAGATAGGAGACAATGGAGGACCGCATCAAACCAGTCGGAAGACTGATGACAAACAAACCATCATACGAAGGACGACCAGAACACGCGACAGAGCGGAATGGAGATGTTGGGGCCCGCGGCGAGCTCAAGAATGGGTCCCTTAAGTGCTAAGTTTATAATTTTTACCATTACTAATTACAAGCCGCGCACATTCATCCGTACTACAAAGTGGCCGTTACTGTAATGATCACCAAAATACGATTGCAATAAATAAATGTGCATGCATGTAACCTGTTCATGTAGCGAAAAAAATTACACACTGCTCGGATGTATTTTGCATCTAGATAGATTACCGATAGACATTGCATAGTGAAGAAATATGTTATTAAAAAAAGTTCAACGGGGAAATGTATTTTTAAAAGCAGTTTAATATTTGGGCCGAAGCTCTTTGTACTGATACAGGGTTGATAAATATCGGTTTGTAAGGCGAGTTAATTTTGACTGCATCAAGCCTCAAAGTGAGGTTATACTCATTAAATCAGTGAGTACAACATAACGTCGCTCATGAAGATGACCCAGAAGGCTAATAAACCAAGTTATCTTCTTCGAGAGTTGTCCATGCTTGCGACGTTCAGGTTTTCAAAGAGTGTGTCAAAATTCCTAACAACTGTGGAAGGGTATGTTGTATGTAATTTAACACCTTTATGGTTCTTCTTGTTCATAACTTTTCACACATTCAATTCACCGACCATTCACTGGAACAATATATATCAGTACAGTGTGATCATCATTATTTGCGATTCCCCATTTTTGTGTAACTTTACTGCGAACCATAACTTCTCTTCCTAATGTGAAGAAATAATTAGATGTATTTTTTACGTAAGAAATTGAATTCGTTCACTTTCTGGTGTAAGCAGATCATATTCTAGAGACATTTCCGTATTTTAATTGTTATTATATTTTTCAAATACAATTTTTGTTATGTTTTAAGCAATGGAATAGCATTTTTTCATTGCTTTTGGCACTAGTGAAATACTTTTATTTCATTTTCTCGAATTTTGATATAAATTTTTTCCTTCTAATTTTACAGGAATTCATTCAATTGGCTGTATAGGCTTATTCCATGACACAAGAAACATCTGTAATCGTCACATCACAACGTGGATAATGAATTGATTTTTTCTCGTTGGCCATCCTGGTTTACGACCTCAGAGAATATGACTTGTTGCCACGCATGCGTCTCATCCTTTTCGAGGCGGCATCTGATGCCATTGTGTTTCGATATCAGAAACTGCATTGAATTTCTTCAGAAAATAGAGGTACGTAGTGACTTGGAAAACTATGGAGAAGAAATACATGGATTTTGGTTGTGTATGTATTTGTTTCATTATTAACTGATTTATTCTTAATGTAATATTCCGATAACGCAGTGGGTGTGATATCTATTATTAACTGATTTTTTCTTAATGTAATATTCCGATTACGCAGTGGGTGTGATAACAGTCTGAGAACAATTTTTTTCCCCGCCCTTCTAGAATCCTGAAGAAAAAATCAGATATTCAGTTGTGGTGAGTACTTTGGACAGGTTTATCCAAGTCCATATCATCCAGGATATTTGTCAGAGTTAACCATATAATGAAAATATTCATTCAAATGTCTAAAATCACATTTGCTATATGAAGTCTTGCCCTATCTTGTTGCGAAAATGTTTTTCCATGGCTCAAAAAGTCTGAACAAAATAGCTTTGAAAGATCTGCAAGTAGCGTGTGGCATTACTTATGTCATCCAGGAAGATCTGTGAGAAGATTCCATCTGATGAAATAGCGTCTCCCACACTGCATTTTTCAGATGCAAAGCATGAGGATCATCAGCGCCTCTGATATGCATATTCTATTTATTGATATTTCCATTTATGTGAAACTGAGCTTCAGAGAACAACATGTGTTGAATAACTGTTTGCTCTGATTCTAAATATTAAAGAGATGAATCAAAAAAGATGTCTTAGCTGACTTCATCAACATCCATCACTACTTGTTGGATCTGAATTTTATAAGCAAACATTTTTAAGTAATTTCTTATTGTGGTTAAAATGGATGATTGTTTTAAACCTTTAAAGCAAGCTCTTGTGGCAGTCATTTTACAGATTTCCATTGGCTATGCATTAGTGCTGTCTGTATACATGCAGTGTTTTCTGGTATCCTCACAAACATCTTTCTGCCAACCCAGAACTTGTATGTTAAATCATTTTCACACACATTTAAATAGTTGATCTCTTAGGTCTTTCTCTGCAGTCTCACTCTAAACTCGCGCTACATCATACAACACTTCCAGTTTGATAAAACAAACTGTTTCATACAAATCACACACTGGTCACTAGTGTACGCAGCTTGCTTATTAATGCTTGCTGAATGTCCCGCCTAGGAAGCACTGCTAATTGATCAGAATACTCTAACCTCTTACATGTTCTATGTAGGTGCAGTATACGTATCAGCAAATTTTGGGATATGTAACAACAATGTCTTTTCTTAATATTTTGTGTGGGTGTGAAACCTGGTTTACCATCCAAAGGGAAGAACATAAGTAATTTTGACTGGTTATTGGGAATGCATATGCCTATTACATTTAATCTCAGTTTCATAAAATTCCATTTTTTTTTTATTTATTCTTTGTAGTATTTACAGACCGCCACGGTGGTCTAGCGTTAGAACGCTGGCCTTGTAATCCTGGGGCCTTGGGTTCGATTCCCGGCGGTGCCCGAATTTATAACTTGTGTTGGTCAAGGCCGTGGTCTAGGCAACACGGAGGTTTCCTCCGGGGGCTTCCCCGGTTTCAATTACTCCATTCACACACAAAAGAAGGCAATGGCAAACCACTTCTGGATCATCTGCCAAGAACGTATATGAACAGGTCCCAGTCCGAGAAAAGGATGGAAGGATCCTGTTCATATGGACCGGTCGCCAGACAGAACACTAAATAAAAAAAATAAGTATTTACACAATATTGTTTGGTTCTTGAGATATGTAAATCAGGAGGATACCTGGGTGAAATTCATTATGTGTGCCCTTCACTTCAGATATATCCTTCAACATATACTATGAATGAAATCTGTATTGAATACTGGACATACCATACACTGTGTGAATTAAAATTACGTATATTTTATTAGGTTTAGCTGTAATGACAGGTATGCATGAACGTCATGTTACAGCAATATTGCTCACTTGCATTATTTAGAGTACAACTCTTT